CAGTAATGGGTTGAATTTTGATCTTAGATTGGAAACAAATCTCATCAAAAAGGAAAGCTATTATTTACTATTCACAGTTATGCTGCCATGCCACACCTACACCCCAGAAAATAAGGTCAGAAGGAAAATTCTGGTTTCCAAAAAAACCAGCTTGACAGAATTTTCAGGTAAAACATGCTTTTGTGAATGTTTAGTAACAACTTGTAAATAAAATTTGAAGCTATTGTCCCACCCCCCCAAAAAATGGAGTCAATCAGGTACAGACCAGGATGACTATCTTACAATATCTTGCCCTGCCACAAAACACAAGGTGTCAAGAGAAAGACTATTTAGACAGAATACTAAATTGCCACTTTTTTATATCTTCTTGCACTAAAATCAACACCATGCAACATTTTAAAAGCCCAAGGGTTTTTAAAATGTGAGCAGAAGACCACAAAATCATACAAAGCAGAAGGTATGCTGTATAAGACAGCAAAGCAAAACTCAAGAAATGTGATCTGGCAAATAAACCGAGCTCTTAAACAAAAACATCCCACAAGTTGCATAAAAACTCACCAAAAAGTGTATAATCAACATCTAGAACCAGCAGCTTTTTCCCTTCTCTAGGAGGATTCAGAATTTCCACTTTGTATTCTTTAACTCTACGGGAAATTTTTAGTAGATTTTCTTCCCTAATGTAACAGTGCAAAAAGTTACAGTTAATTAAAATGCACACTCTGCTTTCAATAACAAACAAACTGTTTTAATACCTAAAACTCCTAACCTATTTTCTACTTCCACAACTTCCTCTTCGATATCAAAGTCATTGACCACGTCATCGTTATCGGGAGGTGGCCCAAGGACATCTTCCTAAAGGAATAATAATAATAATAAAAGATAACTAGAACCACAGAAGGAAAATAACAATGGATATCAAGTTTCTGTTACTGCACATTACAGGACAAAAATACTATTTAACCAAAATGATTTCACTTAAGTAGTGGAAAGAATTACTAAAGTATATTGATGATCAATCAGATCTGACAAGTCAGTGATTATCAAAATAACAGGTTTGTACTTCAAGTCCAGAGCAGTACAGGAGTTTCATGAATACACACTGCTCTCAGAAATCTTCAGGAAAGCTAACTTTACATAGAAAAATAAATGCAAACCGAAATCTACTGTACTATATAATTTATCAAATGATGAGTGAAGTATTCAAAATTTAAAATCACAATTTAAATTAAATTTAATTAAATTAAAACCTAATGAACAGCTAAAATATTTACCAAACTCTCTTCACGAGTGCCCATCATCATTATTTTTGTATTTGGTTTCAACTTGAGAGCTCCAAGCTTAACATCATCATCTGCAGGTTTGCCTGTAACACAAACAGGTAATATTTGAATTTTTTTACTGGGATAGATTTTAGAAAAATGTCAATACATTTCATGCTCAACTGAAATAAGCTCCCTGTAAAATACCAGATATCCCAAGCTGTATTATCATTCTCTTCCACATACAGTGTCCTGGTTTCAGCTGGAATTGAGTTAATTACCAGGTAAATGTATCAATAATAATCAATATCCAGCGATTCATAAAATGTCTGTATTCATGTTCACTTGAGAGCTAGAACTGGGAGGCAGATGCCCTGTTAGTGGGCATCTTGCCTAGGTTTAGAGGATGTTTGTCCTTAAACACCTCAGGCACATCCACAACAAACATCAAACAAGAATAGTTACCCTTCATTTTAAGCCCAAGTAGTTTTTGACGCTCTGGTAACACTCCAGTGAGGCCTTTAAGAGACTGTTTCAGGTCCAACACTGTGTCTTCTTCTGACAGCGAGGTTATTGTATACTCCTGTCCACCCCATTTTATTATGAGAGAGAGAGACATCCTTGAAGCATATGTTCAGTATTGTTTTCTGAAAAATCTGCTGCAGGAGGAAAACAAAGATCATGTAAGGAAGAAACAGGAGAACTGCTCTTTTCAGAAGACAAACCATAACATCTATTTAAAGTGTTCTTGATTTTTTATTATACTGCACATCAAAGAGCTGTTTGTTTCGCATGAGCGGATGACAAAACATGTTGATAAAGTGTTGGAACAAAGGGATAAAGAGCAGTGCTAGAACTGGGGCTCTGAGTTGCACTTTGATGTATTTAGCAGTGTCACAGTCACCGTTGGCTGTGTGTTCTGTGCAGGTACAGCCTGTGCACTGCACACCCAGCACTCCAGCAGAGCACTGCAGCACCACAAAAGTCATTGCAAAGCTCAGAAACGTCCTCTGCAACACTTATGCAACCAAACCACCCGTGGGTACCTTCACACATGCAACAATAAAACAGCAAATTATTAAATACCTAAAATACATAAACACACAAAAATAGTTTTCTGAACACAACAGTCCATTTTTGGCACTGGATTTCTCTAATCCCTTTCACTGTGCATTACCTGCAGTAATACACACCCCAGGTCACATCTCACTGTAGCAGTATCAATGTAGGAGTTTGAAAACAAAGCCAAAACATACACCCCCACAATGCAATTACACTGTAAGAGCTGCACTTGCATTGCAGTGCTGACAAAACAACCATAATTACACTATCCTTAGTTTACACAGCATCGTTTATACAAACTGTATTTAACAGTTCAGTCCTACATTAAACACAGCAGAAATCCAAGATTTTTAGGTTAATGCAAAATTAAGAACGTGGTTTTGTCTGTTAGGGCTTGGAAACAGAGAGTCAAGGAGCTAGAAAGGTATGAAAAGGCTGATACAGAGTGTCAGGAGATGCAGAGAAGGCCTCTGCACCACTGATGGTGAAATTGTCCTCGAAAGACTGGTATTCAAAGAGAGGGCAGACCTGTGAAAAACCTGGGGCTATCCACCTTCAAGAAATGCATTACACCAATAAATGCAGGCCTGACAACTCTAAAAAATCTCAGAATCCAAAGATCTGATCCCTCTTCCTTTCTAGCATTGTATTGTCAGTGGTTACCTGCTCTCAGACAAAATACTTCTCTTTTATGCAGTAAAAGCTACTGGGAACAAACAAGTGATTGCTCAGGCATCCCCACCAAGCTCAGACCAGGTGAGAAGTGGGCTAGATACAACCTGCTTGCTGAGGACACTACAAGCCTCACCTCCACACTACTGTCTCTATGAGTCCTGAAAACAAACTGAAGAGGAAAAGTGGTAACACAAAAAATGAATTTTTTTTTTCCTTTTTTCCCCGAATATTCTCAAATCAGATAGGGACCTGGTATTATACTGTGAAAAAGACTCATGAAGAAGGGGTCTTAGAAGCACTAAGAGGTTCGACTGAGATTAAGGCTGCAATGTCAAGCAATGTTGATACATAGGGTTACTGCCATAAATTATTCCTGTCCACAATCCTTGGACTAAGTTTACAGAAAGAAGGGTTTATTTGCCTGTTTCCTTACCTGTACCATACACCTCAAATCATTCTGCAAGGAAATGCACAGGGCAAGAACTGCAAGAAAACTTCTCAAGTCTCTGTCCGGTGCTAAATTGAAACGCTCATCCCTCCAAAGCTGAGCACTCAACCAACCCTTGATCCTTACACAAGCACAGCCCTGTCACGATGAGCAGCATCAGGGACAAGGCACTTTTATCCCACACCAAACACTACGGGGATGGAATCAATGAATACAGGAAAGTGGATCAGAAGCAGAGGAAGACAGGGGGAGAAGGGCTCTACCTTGGGGGCTGGGTGCTGTTTAACACAACTTCCCTGGGTTAATTACACCTCCTGAGCCCTCACAAGGCCCTTGGACCACCAAGCGCCAATGGACTGGAAGGTCATAGAGAAAGCGTTGAAGTCGTGCTGAGAAATTGTAGCATCGCACCGATTTATCTTGGCAGACCGCGAAGAGAGACACCCACATCTATTAGTCGCACTAAGCAACATAAAACCCCCGAAACACACAAAGTGCCTGATGAGCCGTACAAAGTGCGGCCCCGTAACAGGTGGGGAGCGGGGTCTGGGGCCAGCTCGGTGCCAGCCCGGGATCGCCCCTTTCCCGCGGCCGGGCTGTCCCGGCACCGACACGGCCTTGGCGAGGGGAGCTCCCACACGGCGCTGCTGCGGCCCCGGCGCCGCTCCCGCCCCGCGGGGACAGCGGCACGGCCGCGACAGCCGCCCGCCCCCGCCTCCCTACAGCGGCCCGGCCTCCCCCCCGGCCCCGCCGCACCCACCGGGCTGCCCGGGGCCGCCGATCCTCCCCCGCCGCACCCACCGGGCTGCCCGGGGCCGCCGATCCGCCCTCGCAGCGCGGAGCGGCCGCTCACCGGCCGCGGCACCGGCCCCGTCCCGTCCGCCCGCAGGAAGCGGAACTGGCCCCGGCGGAAGCGGGAGGCCCCGGATGTGCGCGGGGCCGGGCGGGCAGCGCCAGCGGGGCCGCTCCGTCACGGAGCTCCCTGGGAGCGGGGTCGCACAGGGAGCTGCGCCCGTGGGAGCTCAGCGCCGGGGGAGGCCGCAGAGGCGGCTGGCAGGGGCAGCTGTGCCGCCAGTGTGTCTTTTCTGTCGTTAACCTTTAAAGAAGATTGTTCCGTACCCACGGCTACCGACTGAGACACCCCCCTGCAGCGCTGCCCCGCTCTGGGGTTCCCAGCGCAGGAAGGACACGGAGCGAGTCCAGAGGAGGCACCAAGATGATGAGAGGGATGGAGCTGCTCTGCCATGAGGAAGGGCTGAGGGAGTTGGGATTGTTCAGCCTGGAGAGGAGAAGCTTCGGGGTGGCCTAATTGTGGCCTTCCAGGGCCTGAAGGGAGCCTAAAGAAAGATGAAGAGAAACTTATTTACAAGGGCATGGAGTGACAGGACAAGCGGGAATGGCTTCACACTGAAGGAGTAGGTTTAGATTAGATGTTAAGAACAAATACTTCCCTGTGAGGGAGGTGAGACACTGGCACAGGTTACCCAGAGAAGCTGTGGCTGCCCCATCTCTGAAAGTGTTCAAGACCAGGTTGGATGGGGCTTGAAGCAACCTGCTCTACTGGAAAGTGTTCCTTCCCACTGCTGGAGGGTTGGAATTACATGATCTTTAAGGTCTCTTCCAACCCAAACCATTCCATGATTCTATGACTCAAAACTCCCTTCACTCCTAAGCTGACTCTTTACGGGTGTATTGTTGTATCTGTTGAATCAGGGGTCACTTCTTGGCCACTGGTGGGATTCTTGGGAACTGGCTTCAGCTGCAGCGGTTTTGTGGGTGGATAACAGATGTAGAAGAAAAAATGTACTTTGCCCCAAAATGGCCTTTTGCACTCACATATTCTGCTTTACAGAAATAGTTTAAAGGGAAGAAAGTTGTTGTGCAGTAGTGTGGTTTCTTATGTGAAATCACATGGAGGTGACACAGACTGTGGTTCCACTTGGTAGAGATGGTGGTGAATTTGGAGAAGGAAGTGAAGGTTTCAGTCCTCCATTACCTTAGGTCTTGCTGTGTTGAGAGGTTAGATAGTTTTTCTCTTTCTTTTTAATTTGGTGATAAGTAGGGAAAAGAACAAAAGAGCAGAGATAAACAGCTCTGTACTGAGTCCAAGTTTCTTCAGGGTGGCTGCTGGAACTTCTAAGAGCTATTCCTAGTAAAAATAAATCTCAGTGGAGAAGGGCAATATAAGCAAAAAGTGTGTAGAAGCCTGATTTCTTTCCTAAGTGGATATTAATTTAATGTATTTCCTGCCTGGATATGAATTTTGAGTTTGTTCTGTGTTCAGGTTTTCACGTAAAAACACTGCTTTGGTTCTTACGTGAAGGGTGCGAATGGGAGATTGCTGCAGTGACTGTTCTTGTCAAGTTTAGTTTCTGACTGCACCTAAGTCCACTTAAAACCAGTTGCTGTGTTTGTATCCCAGTCACCGAGGGTTTGCTTTTTGCTTTAATGACACACAGTTGTCCTCTGCACACAGGCAGCACGTTGCAGTAGTGCTGGGAAGCTTCCAAAACTGCAGCTAGTAATTGAAGTCACACCCTGTCATGAAAATATGCACCCTCCAGGCCTTCTTAAAAATTCAGGCTACAAAAATGACATGTAGTGTGATTGCCTCTCTAGTTATAATTTTTTTTAAATATTTTTTATTATTTTCTTGTTGGCTTTGAAAAAGCTCTCTTGAAAAAGAGGCAGTAGGGTTTTGGGTTTGGGGTTTTCTTTTCTGTTTGAGGAGTAATATGAAAAGGTATTAATAGGTATTTATACATATCTAGTTTCTGGCATGATGCTGGTGTTTTAGTATCCTGGCTTTTAGGACATCCTCGAAAGATGCTCTGATCCTGACAACATTCATATGGTGCAGATTAATAATTCCATTTATTTAGCTGTGAAAACACATGGTGGTGCTCAATCCTAACGTTAATAAGTGCAAAGTGGTGATTTGATTATGACCATATAATTACAATTCAAAGCCCGAACAGCATAATCTTTTCTTTGTACTGAGGAATATGTTTCGTGGTGGGTTTGCACTGTGGTAAATTAGTAGAGGCAAGAGGCAGGAAGAGCAGCGTGGAAATTCTAAAGCACATGCACGTTCCCTTTCACCTTGATGTGCACTGCTACGTCCTGGGATGCTCTAGGGTGAAATAAAAGAAGTGACTGCATGTCAGATTGATGCCTCCTGGCTCCCTTCCCGTGCCTCGGGTTCACATCACGCATCTCTGAGCGTTTTGAGCAATGCACTTCTGTGCATAACTACTGAAGCCCAGGAGCTCTCATCCTAAATTGCTGTTCGTGCTGCATGTAAGAGAGAAAAAATTCCCACAGGTAACTCAGGGGGAAGCTAGGTAAGAATCCTTGAAAATTTAAAGCGGAAAACTGTGTGGAAAGCTCCAAAGGTTGCTTTGGGAATTAAGAGATTAGATCACGTCTCTGTGATCTAAGGAGTTAGGAAGCAAAAGGTGATGACATTGCAGGCCTCAGAGATGCCAAATATTTCTTTATTCAGTGACTTTAATGGGGAGAGTCAGTGCAGATGTTAATGTGCTGCAGACTAAGGAGGGACCAACAGACAGATTTCAAGGTCTTAAAAGTTTGGGGTTTTTTTCCAAATTGCTTTTTGGTTCAGAAAACTCACTTGAATATGCACCAGCCTCTCTACCCCACTTATAAATTAAACCCACATTAGGAAAAAATCTAGAACAGAGCCCATATTCTGCACTAAGAACAGAAGAATCCTTAAAATACCTTGGTAGCAGTGTATTTTACTCTTAACATGTTTTATGCTCTTTGGTTTCCTCTCACACCTCTTTTTACAGTTTCCTACAATACTTTGTTGCTTTTTTCTGTCTCCTCTGTTACATAGTTTGTTTTAAGCAGGTGCTAGAAGCAGTGATGTCTGAGAATGTCATACTCTGGAAGTCTAATCCCATCCCAGTGTTTCCAGCCCGACTCAGCCGTGTGTGCAAGTCTCCTGCCCTGCTTATCACCACTTGACTGCAGCAGAGCAGCCAGTGGGGTGTGCTGGACACTGCCATCACTGTGCCCCAGAAATGCAGCATTTGAATGCTCCCTGTGATTCTGAGTCACTGTGACTCCAGGCACAACACTGAGTGCTGCATTCCCAGTGTTCAATAATGCTCTAGGAGCTGGCAGCTCAGCTAGAGACATGGAAATGTCTCAGGTTTGAAATGAAACACTTTTTCAGGTTATCACTGATACAGTAAGTCTCTGTCTCCGGTTCTTTATCAATAAAGGGGAGGTTAGAATAATATTTATGTAGTTTCCTTACAGGAGTTTTTTCAGGATTATTTAGTTAATATTGGCACTGTGAGATGCTAAAAATACTAGAGGCTTGTACCCGTGTACCATATGATTTGCCTCTTTCTGAATGCAACTGTTATTCTTCTGCCACTATTCAGCCCAATGATTTTTATTTTATTTACTTCGATTCTTTGTATTCCAGATTATGCCCCACTGGCAAGGGATCTTGGGAAAGAACTGTGATGCTTTTGTTCGCTGAACAAAACCTGATTCATCCCTTTCCTTACATCACCACCCAGCTCTCCAGCTTTTCAACACAGGGATTGCTATGGCTTTCCTTTAGGTACACTGAAAATCACAGCAGCTGTTTATTTGGAGTCAGCACTCTCCAGCGTTATGAAAGTGGTAAAAATACATGTAATCATAGGAGAGATTTAATTATCAGAGATACTGCAGAAGTGGTTTCTTGAAGAGAGTGAAAACAAATAGGAAATTGAGAAACTGTGACTGGCTGAATTCTAGAAAGAGCTCTGAAAAGCAGTGAGAGGAAAAAGAAGGGTTGATGAGAAGCTAAGTGATGGGCAGAAATTTAGGAAATAGGGTCACAGATAATGAAAAGCAGGGGAATTTTTGAGATGGAGGAACAGAGTGAGAGTAGGTAAATCAGAGAGAGAGGCGCTGGCTCTGTTGCTATTGTGGCACCCAGTAATGCTCCCAATTTCTTTGGCTGGGTATGTGTTTCTGCCTGATTCAAAGTTTAATTAAAATTTATTCATTCTTTTGTTTAGTGAATGGGATAAAATTGCAAGAAGAGAACAGAAAGGCTTTGGGGGCTGACTGCCATCAGTATTACACACGAGGCACCAATCTTAATTTTTGCATTATTTAACTTATGTTTGACTTTATGCAATATAACCTACTTTTTAAGACATTCCTTTGCTTTTACAAACGTATGTATGAGTATTTTTTGAAACAATGGGTTGTAAAAAGCTTCAAATAAAACTGTCCATGTTATTGTCCACCTTATGCATGCAATATCCTTCCATGTCAGCAAATTTTGCTGCTCTTTGAGAATTCTTATGAGGGATTTTCTTTGTAAGCAGTTTGGGGTGCTGGCATTTGTCCATCTGCATGGACAAATCAAGCTTCCACATTATCTGAACTCTGAGAAGGTCTTTTCAAAGTTTTAATGAGACATCACCATAGTGGTGCCCTTCTGTCTTCAGTTGCTGATCACTGAAATTCTGGAATCCAAAGGCCTCTGTTAATAATGAGAGATGAACAGTCATTGAGTTCAGAATTCTCAGCCACCCAGTGTAAAATGCAGGGAAGGCTTTTAAAATTCCAGAGAAATGAAGCAGAAAGTTGAGGTGCTTTTAAAAAGCCACGTCTGACAAAACAGTGGTAACGGCACATACCTGATCTGCTCATTACAAAGCCTTTGCTTTTGTGAAGTAACACATTCACAGAATTATATGCTGAGAGATGACAGAATGAAACAAAGGTGGGGGTCAGTTCCTATTGTTTGCTTGCAAATTGAAGCGAGAACTTTGGGGATTTGCTACAATACTTTCATGATATAATTACTTCTAAAATAATAATAGATACTTCCAGTTCAACTCCTATAAATACCTGTTACTGTCTATAGTTGTGAATATATATTTGTCTCTCTCTGCTGCTTGCTGTCTTTTTGTCTCCCTTGCAGCTTTGCAGAGAGGTAGGACTTTGAGATCCTGCACCATCCCCATAACCTCAGTCAGTGTTAAACTGAGCCCACAAAGAACAGAAAAGAAGTGACTCATGAATTTTTTCCATGTATGGCATGAGTAGACAAGCAGCCCCTAGAAATGAGGCCGAAATTCTTATGCCTTATATGACACTGATTCATACTCCTTGTGATAAGAAGTGAGGTACTGGCAAGTGTTGAACAAGGGCACAGTGGTGAGTGGGCTGAGCCAGGCAGAAAAACAGGGTGGCTGGAGACTGGTGAAGCAGAGTCCGGGGTGTGGAGCAGTGTGTTTACCCCAGGTACAATAGGATTGACTGATAGTGGCATGATTATTAACAAGACACATAAAACAAGAGCTGCAAACATTTGTCATGCAGGGACCTGTTAAAAAGGAGGAAACCCAACTGCTGAGAGGAGACACTGAGCAGAACAGAGAAGCCCTGTGCACAAGGGGCTCTGTGAACCTCCTAAGCCTGACCAGAGCATGGAGTGCTTATGAGTAACAATCACATGTGTATGTCCTTAGTTTGCCTGGACATGCAGGTTGGTTCTTTCTAAAGAGAAGAATTACCGAGTTTAGGAATCCTTGCATGGACTGTTTGCTTCAAACTAAAAATTTTTCAATAAAAAGCCTGTTATTGTTTCAAATAGCATTAAAATCTGAAGCTTGTGAAAAATTGTGCTTAGCTCCTCTGTGGTACCTGCAAAGGTCTGGGACACCCCTGTCAGTTGTGCCATTTGGTCTCCTTCCTTCTGCATTGTGGACTGACTGAAGTTTGGGAGACTGGCCCAGTGTGAACGCCAAGTGCAACCAGCTGAGGATGCAGCAGGGCAGAGCCCCACCACAGACACGTTCAAACTACCCTTCTGTCAGCTTAAAAACCTTTGGGTACTCAGACACAAATGTTCTAATGGGTTCTGTTTGGGTACTCAGACACTAATGTTGCAAAGCAGAATGCAAATAGACACCCAAACCTCTTATTTTAATATCTCTGCTTCACAGAGTTAGACAGTGTGTTAAGGCCATGCACTGTTAATACCCATGTCTGTGAATGCTCCACTTCTCATTAGAGATGGAAGGAAAAAAGCAATTATTAAGTTGGCTAGCCCAACCCTAGTGAACTACAGGATTTTCCAGTTCAGTGTATTCCCTCATTCCTCACTGCAGCAAAGTTTTTTTCATGTTCCAGACAATGTGGCTTTGTATTTTTTTTTTTCAAACATTAAGGTAAAAAACATTACTTCTCTTGGACCATAATTTTTTCCATACCACTTAGGAATGTGTGCTAGGGCCTGGCCACACAACCTTTAGAGGATGAGTAAATACTGGTGAGACTTTTCATGCAAGGGCTGTGAAGCATGAACTGGGCTGAGGGAGCTGCCTCTGGCTCAGGTCTCCAGCTGAAAAATGACAGTGCAGTAATACAGAAATTCTGGTGTTTTTTTCTGGTTGATCTCACAACAAAGATGACTGGAGATTCTGCAGTGCAACACAGGAAAAAAACAGAGTCAGCCTTAAGTATTTGAAGTTAATACAGCACTTTGTGTTCCACAAGGCCACTAAAGAGTATTATTAAAATAGCAGGGCTGCCTTTTAAACATTTGCCCAGACACTACCTCAAATTTTGCTGACCGGCTTTTCTGAGTCATCTCCCAGACTCGCCGCTGCCCTGGCGAGTCCACGCGCCCCGGGAGGACCCAAAACCGAACCCAAACCTCAACTTCTGCCCTTTCGTGGGGGCGGGCGAAGGGCGTTAGTGCCAGACCCCTCTAGCCGGCGGGGAGCGTAACCTCCCCAGCCGAATTCCCGGTGCTTTCCACCCAAAATCCCCCTCCCGTCCCCGGGCCCGGGCGGGGGCGGAGGGGCCGCTCCGCGGGTGGGGCGGGGCCCGCGCATGCGCGGAGC